TGTTCATCTGCTGTGTCAAGGTTTGACTATATTGTGGAATTAACTACGTATATGATTGAAGATATTTAATACTACTATTAATTATTTTAAATTGATAATATAATTAACAAGAATGTAAAGATTTTATTATAAATAAATAGAAAACAAAATTTAGGAATTACGGCAATAATAATACTACTAATATTACTAACAATCATGCACCCAGAATAATGTAAGTATAATATGATAATCAGGGTTTTTCTGATAACGAAGTAGTATTACGATCTGATACGACCTTTAATTATAGTAATAGTAATAGTAATAGGGCTGACAGCATAATATTATTATAAAATAATATTTTATCACCATAGAAAATCATCGTACGTTCGTACAACGAAATTGCACAACACTGACTGTAATAATAACGTATATAATACTACTACATAATAACAAGGGATTTAAATAAGCATATATAACATGATAATCAGTTTTTTTCTGATAATGAAATAGTATTAAGACCCCAGTTACAACATCTGGTAATCCATTAATTATATAATAGTGTTATCGGCTTAATAATATTATTATTATAGGATTTTACAAAGTAATATTTTGCCACCGCAGAAAATCATCGTTCCTGATACATCGTACATTCGTACGTACGTACGTACGTACATATGTAAAATTTCCTCGTACAGGTGTACGACCACAACGAAACTGTACGAACTCAATGGTACGAAGTCAGTCGTACGTACGGAGGTTCTTCTCGTACAGCGAAATTCCACAACCCTGATACTATTAATACATTGCATGTTGTCTATACCCAAAATTATGAAAATTTTAAATATCATGTGATCCACCTATCTGGTTTAAAAGAAAATACCATCATTAAATTCCACTTCAAAAAATGAATTGTTTTATACAATACTCATCATAATTTGGAAAATTATAAATTCAAAAATTCTTCTTCTTCTTTCAATAAAAGAATCCAAGAGTAAAAAAATCTAAAGATTTAACTTTTTTTTCAAGTCGACCTGTAGGTGAATTTTAGATCGATTTTCGATGAAAAAATTTCTTTGAGCAATTTGTCCTTTTGATAAAAAAATTTAAAGACGCGTCGTTACACGAGCGAACTTTTTTCATTTTTGCCTTACCAAATTTGCTAAAATCAATTTTTATTTGATTATAGGCCCCAGATAATTCTAATTGACCAAATTTTTATATATTTATTACTAATAGATTTTCCTATCACTTCAATTAGAATTATCCAGGAGTCTATCATTATTATAGACAACTCGCACTGTAAAAAATAAATTTTGACCAGATCTGCAAATTGTATAGCACTTATAGAACGCATTGAACTATGGAGAAAATGAATTGGGAAGAATTACAGGGTTAAAGGAATTGATAAAAAAATCAAAAGTAAAGTTGGCAAACGAGAGAATTAAATAAAGGCATTGTGTTTGATTCTTTTGGTTAAAAAGATATTGGTTTTTTTCATCTTTTACTTGAAAGTGCTTTGGTGATGAGTTTTTGTTTTCAAATATTCAATCAGTAGAATCCTTATTATTATATGGCAAAAGAATATTACCACTTTTTTTTTACTTTTTGTTTGTGCATTTCTTAGTATATCAATTTTTATCCTAGTTTTGCGACTTAATAATCCATTAATTACCAAATAATAATAGGGTCTTGACACTATTTTATCCAAAGAAAAAAATATGATAAATATTTTTGTGCAAAAATAATTTAATACTTGCCCTTAATTCAATAAAATTGATAATAAGTGTATGAAATGTTGCTAGAAACTCAAACTCTGATATTTGTTAGAATATATATAATTGTTTATTTTAGAATACTCATTTGAATATCTTTATTTGCATTTCTGCAAAAAAGAATTTTATTTAAAAATAATAATTAAATTGCAACAGTTTATTAATCTATACCATTATCATACAATTAATAAAATGCATTTTCCAGTTACAATTAACATATAAACTTTGATTTATTTTAAGAAAATCTTCCTGGTTGTATCTAGTAACAATTTAATGGCTTTTGATATGTCAGATAGTAATAATGTTTCTTCTTTGGGAATCATGTGTAACTTATAAAAACTTTGCATCTCTATCTCCAATTGAAAACTCCTTGTTTATATATGTAATTACACTTCCTGTGACATATCGTTTGACTGATCACTTAATTTTTGATTTGCTTCATTCAAATCGAATTCAATTCAAATCTGCATTGTACTTTGATTTGATTTGATTTGATTTGATTTGATTTGAACTGATTTGAATATATAATTTGATTCAATTTGAACTGATTCAAATATATAATTTGATTTGAACTGATTTGATTTGAATCCATGATACACTATATATAATAAATGAAAAATCTTTATTTTAATGTATATTTTATAATTTTATTTAAAAAAATATTTTTTATTTTATATTTATTTATATAGTATAAATATTTTTTTTTAATAATTTTATTTATTGTGAATCTTTTAAAATGAATTCTGTAAAATTCAAAAAAAATTTTTTACCAGGAGCAATAATTACATCTTGCCTTTCCATCTATGATTGTAAAATGATTCCACGCAATTCTTCTTGTTCTTCTTGCTGTGCTTGTTGAAGAAATTGAAAAAGTTGAAGCAACATTTTTGACCATGAAATTGTTATCATTCATTAGTAATATTAGTACATATTATTTTAGATTTAATGAATGTAAATCGTGTTAATTTTTTACTCATTATCATTATTAATAATATAGGTCACATGACCATTAATATTTATCAAGAAATCCATTATTATTAAAAATTCAAATAAATATCATATCAAGGAGAATTTTATTATCGTTAAACCTCAATCCATCAGTATTCATTAATTGAGGCACACTAATTGAGATTCACTGTATAATATATCAAATTAAAAATATAAATTTAATATGACATTAAAAAATTTTTAGGAATCTGGTTTGATTCAAATCGAATTGAATCACTCTTAAATTTGATTTGATTTGATTCGTCTGGAACCTTATTCAAATGGTCTCAAATCATGACAGACAAAATTTATTGATTTTTTTTTATTAATTCTTTAACATTTGCTGGTGCTCCATTTTTTTGCAAAAATGAAGTAATTTTTGATTGATTATCTAAGTTGCAACACCTATGTCTTCATAAATTCGAGGTTCCTAGTTTATAATTATATTTAGTTATATAGTCACAATTCCTACAAAAAACATACTTAATCATCTTGTCATCCAAGTCAACTAGTTCAGCAAACTTATCCCAAACATCACTTTTTCCTCCTTGCTTCTCTTTTAAAAATAGTTCTGCTCTCAATTTAGATCTTATTTGATCAATAGTCAATGTATCTGACATGGTAGATTATTATATCAAAATTAATGGGATATTACTAAATTATTATTAAAAAATTAAAAATTATTGTTGTTGTTGTTATTATATTTCATTAAAGATGTGTATATATTTATTATTTTTAGAATCTATTTCAAAATTCACGCGCGTAAAATAATAAAAATTTGGATACAAATTCTGATTAGTTACAATAATAATATTTTCAGATTGCACAAACATCCGGGTTATTCAAACCCGCACCCAAACCCATATCCAAACCCGTACTGCAATCTGGGTATAATCCGGTAAAATTGCAGAACCCGGCCCTATTATGTACATTTTTGCGCAATTGACAAAAGCAAGTGTTCCGATACTTTTGTCCAAGTACTGTATATTTGGTTTACCGGATATTTTTTAAAAATATATATATACTTACTTGGACATAACAGAAGGAATAGAGATATTAGACATGTGGTAAGAAATACCCTTTTACAAACAACCAGATTGTTGTACAACAGATCACAAATCGTGGTTCTATGACAATCAATACACAGGTAAACTTGATAAGTCAGCTGTGAATGACTGAGACTTATTGAGAGAACAAACTTATCGAAACTGACTTATCAGTCGCAGGACATTGTGGATCTACAGGGGGTCAAGTGTCACTCACTAATAAATTTTTTTTGATCAACACGGAATTTATATGAAAAAATGAAGAAAAAAATCACGATTTCATACTAGAGATTGGACCCACTCGGGTCATGAAAATTACCACCCGGGTGGAGAAAAATGAATGTAACACAATGGGATGTCTGATTTATAATTCAATTTTTTTTACATTTCATATGTATTATCAACATTTTTAATACTGATTACCCAATATCTTATAAATAATGATTTTATCAACAATATCGTTAGAGTTGTCTTGTTACATATTAATATATACTAATGAATTATTTTGTTTTTGGATTTTGTGTAATGTCACAATGACATTTAACATACAGATTATCCAACCTCTTATAAATAATAATTTAGTCAATAGTATTGTCAGAGTTGCCTTGTTACATATTAATATATTAATGTTTTTGAAAAAGAATAACGAATGTGAATTTCCATATAATATATACAGTGTTGGAAATTCGTCGATCTTATGATCTGCAAAAAAAAATTTGTGCACATATGAACACAAGAAATTTTTATTT